TAGTAGATGCAGGAAATACATTTATACATGTAAAGTCTTTTTTCAGAGACTGTAATTTATCTAATTTGGTATACAGTGAAATGGGGCTAATGGTATTCATCATGTAAATTATCATATGTGGTGTTATGTAACAGTTTGCTTTTTTTTTTTTTTGGTTTCTTTGGTTTGTGGTTAATTAAGTTCACGATCAAATCATTTTTATTCCCAAGGCTGAACCAGTGTTTGCTATAATCAACAAATTATTTATATACATTGACCGTATTAAGGTACTCGATTCCCTCTGTTGTTATTTTGCTACACCCGGACAAAACGGATATATCGATCAAGCACATATCAACAACACATGTACTCTACTACACAGTATGTGACGTTGCATGCCTTAATACACCAGTTTTTCAAACAAATTCAATTAGACTTGGTGTCTCCACAGGACAGGGTGAATTGTATTTCCCTTCAAGCGTCTCTTTCCTCATTTTAAAGCATAATTTTGCAACGGTAACCAGGGTCAAAGTTATGCAATAATAATGAATAGTGCCTCATATCACAAACGTGTAACACCCACTGCTCTGTGCAGGGTTTCGATTGCTCCAATTAATAAATTTCAAATGAGAAATCATGATTTTTTTTTTTCGGTGATAAATACAAAAAAAAAAGCACACAACATTATGCAAGTCGGACCTCTAACGTTTGAACTTTTCCTTTTTTCGCACTGAGCCTTATGCCGTTGTGTCAAATGCAGCGTCGTCCCATAACACGCTTTCACCGGCTGTTTATAGCACGCATTATCACTTTGCTTGGAATAAGTCACTTCCTCTGCGGGGAACGAAACCGAGTTACGAAGGCCTCTTGATGTTTCAGCTTCAGCACATTAACTCAACAAAGTGATTCCACGGAAGATATGAGGAATCTGAAAAAAAAAATCCTGTGGCTGGGATTCCAGCTGTAAAGTGATGCCTTTGTTTATGAATACTGATCTTACGCTTTCTATCAGTTCAATATCTACTTTACTTTCTGTGTAACATCTGTTTTCAGTTCCTGGTTTTAAACTTTTTAAGTAGTGAAGCCAATGCCTATGTTTCGAGTTTGCTGATATTACGTACAGTAATCGTTGTTCCTGTATTTATGTAAAGTGAGTGTAGTGTATATATATTCAGATCTTTTCATTCTTACCGTATAGGAAAAAAAAATAAATTGTGATATTGCTCAGCATAGCTTCTAAAAGGGAGATCTTGCTCATGGAATTCCACATCTGTAAAAGAAAAATTTTTAATCCTGATATTTTTCAAAAACTTCAAGAACAGGTGTCCTTTCTTCTTTTTGTTTTCTGTTACGCTTTTCTTTTTTCTCTAAGAGTTGTTTAAGTATCCAGTCAGTGTTTTTGCCTTTTTCTCTGTATTTTTCATATGGATGGAGCTGTGAAATTAAAATAAGTTCAAAAATATACATGTATATTAATATGAATGGAGGCATGAAGGTTAATAAAGTTGCATTTTGTATGTACACTGGTTATGGAGCTGGTAGCTATCTGTGACTGAGGTGGATGGTATGTGGTCTCACTTAGACATCTGAGCTCTGCGCTCACTTTCGCTGGCATTCAGAAACCTGATCTTGGTATTAGGGAAGCCATTTTAAATGATAGCTGATATACAGTAGAGTGACTTGTCTGAAGATCGCTACACTACAGGAAGAGGAAAGAGAAATTTGGTGCCACCGTGGACGCACATGCAGATTAAAAAAATTGTACCTGGAAGAACCTCCCTCACGCAGGTTTAAACATCTGTGAAAAGCATCACGTACAATAGCTTTAATGTTGCGGTTGTTAAATGCATGTTTTAACATTGCATGTTGTGAATAGTTTTCTGAGAACAGGTTGCACTTTAAAAAGAAAACGCCCTGTACATCCTGTACAAAGCTCTATTATAAATGGACCTGGATGAATGTGTGTGTCTGCCAGTAAAGGGTTCCAATGATTACAATAACAAGGTTCCAATTCCCACTCCGCTAAGCATGGTGGTGTGCAGCATATATCACATGAGTGATTTATCACTACAGCCCATGTAGTGTGAGTGTAAAGCGCAGTGAAAAGAAGCTAAGAGCAAATAATAAGAGTGATAAAGAAACAATCTGCACAGGGAACTCCCTCTGCACTCAGGACAAGCTCAGACACCACCTCCGCTGTGTTACGACTTCTCTTTTGTCAGCACCTCTGCTGTGACTCACAACGAGGACACTTTCCAACAATTACAAAGACAAAGGGGTAATCATGTTGTGATCACTGAGGATTGTTAGTACAACTGCAGCGAGGGTGTGTTGCCGAACAATTACAAGAACACTGAGGCCAAATCACGTGTCACTGTTCCAAAGAGAACTCAAACCGTAAATATGATCTAAGGCTGGGAGGAGTGAAGGGCGATAAAGATTTAATAGACCAACAACCACATCTTTATATTTCACATTTATATCTGTTGAATTCTTATCTATTTACAAGTGGTTGTCTATAAATGTGCCTTATTTTACTCCCATTTATAACATATATTTTATTTCAGATAATTTAAATGAGGTCTCTGATCTGAAACTGTCTACATCTTTACTAATTAATAGCAAAAAATCAATTAAAATAGATTAATTCTATTTTTTTTTTTATGAACGATCTATGAACTTGACATCAATATGATCACCACCATGATTCAATTATGTGTATGGATGGACATTATATAAAAGTGTGTGATCCCTGTACTGTGCTAAAGAAATACTTACTACATATCTATACTGTAGACATCCGAAATAAGAACTAATGTGTGTTTGAAAATATGAGGAATTTTAACCTGGATACAAGGTGAACAGAGGGATTTTCTTTTTAAAGTTGTGTAATATTTTACATGTCAAAAAATACAAATACTCAACATGGTTAGAATATTCAACACAAAACTTTTATTTGCATTATGAGAGTCACGTGGCTTCAGAGAACATTTGACCAATTTCAGATACATTTTCACTTTAAATGACACAAAGTTTTGTAAAACTTTCATGTGTCAACCATTTCAAAATACTTGTATGTGTGTATATATATATATATATATATATATATCTAAAAGTATTGCAATAATTTACTGGCAGATACTCCACGGAGCTGCTGCCTTGGCTGGAGAAAGTTATGACAGAGTAGACTTATGACAATCCTGTAATTTGATCCTTTTCAGACTTTGCCAAGAAATAATATTTAAAAAAAACCCAACAAAGTTTAAAATCTTTATACAACAATCTTTGGATTGTCAGACAAAATATACAAACTATAGAAACTTCAAAAGTCAATTTTATTCAACCCGACTCAAATTATGAATAAATTTGGTCATAAATAGGAATTGATGTCTTGTGGAAAATTCAGAGGGGAGAGCCAACATATAGAATGTTTTTTGGCAGAGCGGAGAAACAGATAAGAGGAAAAACGTCCCGAAGGGGAAGCTCTGTTTATCATTCATCCAAAAAATAAAAGAAGAGAAAAAAAAATCAGTTAAAGGCACTTTCAAAAGGTGTTTGAATACATGAACAGTCGTCAAAGAGATCCAAAGCGTTCACAGATGTTCAGACTGGCAGGTGCTCAGTCGACGTCTGAAAAAAACAAACCCAATCTCCGACTCAAAGACACCACTTTGAAACCACTTAGGGAGACAAATCATCAGCGGTACGATGTTGTAATCCTTCTACGAGCAGAACCAAACATCGCACATTGGGACATTTGCAACCAAAACAAAATCAAGATGAGCGGACGTCCACTTGTCTGTCATAACGACTTCCAGAGGACAGAAAATAACTCTGACCTGCCGCTCAAATGTCATCTACTCAAAACTCTTGTAAACTATGTGTGGGCGGTTCTCCGAGCCCTTCGCTGACGCTAAAAATGACACATTGCTGTGTGGCTGCTGAGTAACGTGGGGCAAAACAAGCACTTTAAAATAAATTTCAGTTATCAAATAAAATCTCTGATCGTAAAAGTCCCTAAATAAAAAAGTACCGTGTGTATGTTGCGTCTTGAGGGCACAGACTGAAACAAGAAAACACTGTGGCACCAACTTAAAAAGTAACTTCAGTAGGTGAAGCACAAATTAATTAAGTTTGTTCAAGGTGTATGAACAGAATTTGATTTTAAACTTAATTCATTTGTGTGTTAACAACTGAAGTACGTTTTTAATACATTGTCTTTTTTCAGTGTAGATATAGAACATTCATAACGCAGTCTAAAAGAACGACATCTCAAAGCCTTCAGCGTTTGATCATTTCAGATATCACGTCCACCACGGAGGTTACGTTCTCACCCCTGTCCGTTTCTTTGTCTATTTGTTCGTCGGCAGGATCACACAAACATTTCTGAATAGTAACTGTGGCAGAAAAAACGCTTTAGAAATTGGAGCGGATCCAGGAAATTTGACATTTTCACCAATTCGGCCGGGAATAATTACCGACAATGTGAGTATGACTTATTGTGGATTCAGAATTAACAGTTTATACGTATCTTCCATAGTTTAACATCTATGACGAGCATGATTTGGTGCCGAATTTAAGGAGGACTGTGGGGCCTTGGCCGGGGTGCACGCTCTGCTGAGTGTCCTTCTGCTCTTTATCTGTTTTGCTTTGAGTAAATTTATTCTCTGTGACAACGTGTCCAATAACTGGCAGTGATTGAGCTCTATGCACTGCACTCGCCACAATTTCACTCTCCACAACCTCCTACCGTTTCCTGTCTGAAATCTGAAAACTTGTTAAAACAAACTGACGTTACTTTTTCATGACACACAGTCATTTCTAAACAACACATCCTTTGACCTTCCAGTTCACGACTCGATCGACCTCAGCACTTGCAGTGTGGCAGTTTGCTAGTTTAAGTTATTTAAATAAATGCCCATATTATACATTATAGATATAATCTTTACCCCGAAAACCTTTAGAATGAAAGATTGAAATTCCTTGGCTGTAAAGTTACATTGAAGTAAAAGAAAATCTCGTGAAAATAAAGGCTTAGGAAGATTAATTGTTATTTCATCATCACATGATTTTTGACTGACACCTTAGGAAATATCCCCAATATTGGGATGCATACATGGAAATAAAATAAGGCAACAGGTAATATTAAATTCTTTTTACAATAAAAGAAACAATTAGGTGTGGGCCAGCACTGCTAAGAATATCTCCACTGGGAAGTGAGTGGAATAATCCACTGTTTAGAATGTGTTCTTTGTCCATGTTTACACTGGAAAAATAACACGATGGACTTGATTTGCAGGAGCGTGTTTCTAGCGCTGATGTCTTTTCATGTGTAGCGCCAGGTGGTCGGAGCGCGAGAAGCAGCGGTTGCATACTCCACACTGGAAAGGCTTTGCACCGGTGTGTTTCCTGAAATGGCGAGTCAGCTCATCGGAACGAGCGAAGCGCCACTCACATCCCTCCCAAGAGCACTGGTAAGGCTTCTCTCCTTCAGCAAAAAATAAAAACAGTCAACACATACAGTATCCTGAATACAGAGACATTATTTTTTATCCCAACATTAGGGGAGAAAACATTTCTGATACCAATATATCAGCCAATATACTCTATATATACATTTTTTTTAAATTTGGCAATGATTCCTGTCTCTATCAAACCCTGAGGCGTGACATTTTACAGTTTAACTTTAACTTAATCGTAAATAACTACAAATAAAAAGACACAGAAACATAACATGTTTTCATCATTTGAAACGTTTTCTTCATATCTCAAAAGACTAATGAAGAAGTTTTCATGATGAAAAAACTGACACGATGCTGCGAGCCGTAAATCACAGCGTGTCCTGTCTGTCTCCCTGTCCCCTTTGCGAGAGCTGCAGGGTTTATGTGATTTGACAGCAGAGAGATGTGGGCCAGGTCTGTCAGCAGACAGAATGCATCTACATGCCAAGTACACTTTTCTGCCTGGCAACATCCACACTTAAAATAAGAACGCAACACAAAACACGTACCTGTGTGGGTCCGTAGATGGGCTTTTAAATGAGAGGACTTGGTGTACACTTTCTTGCATCCTAGGAAGGAGAAAGAGTAAGTACTCTGATATGTTCTTTTCACTACGGAACATTTCAGTTTTGATTCTGTGAGTCTCACCTGGGACGTCACAGTGGTGAATCCGCCGTCTCTCCAGATCAGGATTATTCCTTCGGTTGAATTTAAGTGAAGCTGACTGGGCCAACACTGGGGACAGAGGGCCAACACCTGGTGCTGTCTGAACTGGTGTCAGGCTCGAACGCTGGACTGGACCAACACCTGGACTCTGGACTGATCGAACACTGGTATTTTGGTCTGGACCTTGGATTGGAGCGACACTGGGAGTCTGTCTTGGATCGATGGGATTATGGGTCTGAAATGTTAACTTAGAGGCGATGCTGGCTTCATAGGAGGGAGGTGGGGACAGATTGTGGAGGAGCTCCTTCCCCCTGTCTGGACTTGGGGGCTCGGAGTTTGGCGGAGAAGGGGGCAAATAGGTCGGTGTCTGCTGATGGCCTAAGTGTCGATTGAATTGAAAACACTCGCTCTGAGGATTCCCTGTGGGTTTTGCAGAATGCGGCGCCGGGCCTACGTGGACGTTCCCATTTGGAAGACTTAGCGGTGCCATGGGGATGGAGTTCAGCTGCGACCCATGAATGAGCTGCTCCAGGTCAGAGTTCAAAAGCTGAAACAGGGGAACATCCTGGAAATCTGGCACTTCCTGTTTGATATAAAAGTTACCGCTCGCTGTGTCGGCCGCGCTCAGGACACCCGGGGGAGCCGGTGGCGGCCCCCCGCTGCCCTGGCAGGGCGGGTGCATCAGGGAGTGTGGCGGCTCTGTTTTGATCTGCCTCACGGTCCTGCAGAGACCAGGGTGCAGGTATGTGACGTCAGGGAGGAGCAGGCTCATGTTGACGCTGTAAGGCGAGGAAAAGTCCTCTGGGAAAGGCTGCTCAAGCATCAATGAGCTGTCCCTGCACAACATTTTGGAGTTGGCTATGTCCTGCAGGTGAGGAGACAGGTAGCTGTCCATCTCTGACTTAGCCTGAAAAAGGAAAAGAGAAGGAAATGATTAGATAAGTTGTGCATGCAAAGAAAATAGACTCAGGCTCTTGTGGTCTTGAAGTCTTGGATTTGTCACGAACAGTGAACGTCTCACAGGTTCATTTTTACTTCTCCTTGTAAAAATAAATACAAATAAATGATAATCCCAGGTTGTTTGTTGCTTGTGTGGGATCCCTTCAGCAACCAAGAATCATGAGACCTAGAAAAAAAACAAACCCAGCCACTGTGAATATATTGGTGGATGCATTTTGGGGCCTGCACGTGCCACATCAAAGACGCCACCAACCAACACCCCCACCCCCCACCGCTTCCCTCTACAAGCAGCAGACGCCCTTTCTGAAACGCACCACGCAGCCAGAGCTGTCTGTTCATGCACGGCTGAAATTAGAAGGAGCCAGTTGCTCTGCAGCTCAACGCTTCCCTTTCCCTCACAAGTTTTGTGGAGCGGCTGCAGCGTTTCACATCCCAGCCATGCCCCGCTTTCGATTCAGCCTCGCCAGTGAATGTCAGCAGCATCAGTGGCTACAGACACATTAACCTCTGAATTTCAGATGCACGAGGGGGGCTGCAAATATCATGACGAGTAAACGCACACTGGGCCTTTACCTACAATATTAGGCTGGAAATGAAAACAGCTCTGTTTTGCTTCCATCAGCTTTTCTTTACGCCAAAAACCAGCAGGGATTTACGCACCGTGATGCTCTTAGGCTGATGCAGAAAGAAGAAGAAAATAAACGCAGTCTCTTCTTACCACGTTGTAATCATGGAAGCACGAAGTTCCCGGGATGGCATCCCTCGTGTTACACAGCACTTGTCCATGATCTTCACCCCTCACACTGTCCGTCAGTGGCGCGGCGGTGGCGCTTCTGTGGAGAAACGCCGCGTCCTGCCCCGGAGCGACCCAAACATTATTCCTCACAGCAGCGGCCATTAAAAGCAAAAGGTACCGGTCTAACTATCCGAAATCTTCCAGGAGTAAATTACGCATATGTGTTGTTAGTATTATTATTGTTAGTTTACAATCTGCACCAGCAAAGCGGCGGCTGTCAGGCGCTCATTCTCCCTGTTTTGCGCTGGCTTGTCAAATTACGCAACTGCGTGGTATCAGCGCGTCTGCAGGGCGGGGCTGAACATGTACAAAATAAACAGGACGATCGGGATACACCTAATGTAATGAATACTGTGGTTGTGTGATGGGATGAAATGACCGAGGAACACAGAAATAACACTGAGCAATGTGTGGGGGGGGGGGGGGGATGAAGAGGCAGAGTGAGGATGAGGAAGCTGTCAGGTTTTAGTGTCCACAACTGAGCAGGTTATTCACTGAGTCCAAACAAAGTGAGTCAGTGCAGTATTCCTCAGGGTCATGTTGAACAGGCCCTGTGTCTTATTTTATCTCCATATGACCTCAGACGTCTTGAGGCCAAAGATGAATAAAGATACAAATTGAATTTAGTGCAGTTTTATCCATTTCTTCCTTCTACACATGTCCCAGTGATCCATTCATGGACCTCTATGATTCCTATGAACAAATTAATTCTACGTCCCAACTGCCACCACAGCTAAAAAAAAAAATCCTCCTCACACAAGTTTTCCCGATCATGCTTTAGATGCAGTGTGATTTTCTCGGAGCCTGCGGCACACTCGTGGTCCTGGTGTGGCATGTTAAAAACGCCACTGCAGTGCAGCTGTCTGTCAGGACTGCATACTTGATGCCAACATTCCTGAGCCAGCAGTGAAGCCCTCACATACACACATATACAGGCAGTAGATGCTTCCTATCAAAATAGCTGCATATGCTTTGCAGATCATGAAGCAGGAGACTTAGGTTCAGTAATAATGGTCTGTCCTGGACCTGCCTGCAGCATCTTCAACTTACAATAAACCGCATTCGTTTTGTATTTATGTTCTTTACCTTTTGTTGCGACATTGCAGGAACTCTGACATGTGATGTTTTCATTTGCCCTTGTTTGTTCTTTATATCCTCAGGTATACTCCAGACACTTGGCTCAGCAATGAAAATAATCAGTAATTCAACCTTCAGCCCTCCTGAGATCACGGTGACAGCCGCTTTATGCCTGAGCTTAACAAATCAGAATCCTCTTGTCAGGAGTTTGGATTTCTTCTTCCCACACTCGTGTGTAAAGAATCAGTGATAATGCCAGTGCAACATGCTGGAACTGGAAACACAGGTATGACACAACACTGGCACGGATGTGGACGCTTAGCAACGTTTCACCATAAGCAAAAAAATAATAAAAAATCAGTTTGTGTGTGTAAGGATGTTTCTTTAAGTGTGACATTTACTGCCACTCCCATCTATGTTTTGCTTGAGGCAGTTTTTGTCCTCTTATTAATGTTGTAGCTGCACCCACATGTAGGCTTGACTGAACAGGTTTTAAATGGGAATGTTTCACAGGTTAGATGGGGTCAAGTATGACACCTAAAGATACTGAAAAACACGTGGATGACTTTATAAAATAGCATTTTACCATTATTATAATGAAAACTCTGATTCATCCAGAGCTCTTAATTTGGAGGTTTGTACAGAAATGATGAACCATTGATTTCTCGCTGTGAAATGAGAAGAGGATCTTATGCAAAGTTTTTTTCTTTTCATAAATCCAACCTCTAAACTAATTTTCATGTTATGGTCTCTAGACTTTGCATCTCATAGCCAACAATGTAGTTTGTTATATTAAGTCATCATCTCATTTTACGTGTGATTTTAATTAACTTCATTTTCTAATCTTACGTCGCTGTACCTTCCTTCTTTTGAAAATAATTTAAAGTTATTATCTCAATTATTTTGCTTTTGTATATAATTTTTAATTTGAAGGCACATTATCGTGAAATTATTACAAATAACAATTGTTTTTATTATTGTCATTTCATCAAGGCTGCAATTCATTTAACATCCACTTACTTGTACCATCACAGTGACTCTGCACCAAGAAAATGTTAACATATTCATAGGTTTTTTTTCATGGATGTGATTAAAAAAGAAAATCTTGAACATATTCAAATGACTGCTGATCATCCAATTAGGAGCAGACTGATTGCCTGTCATGAGCTGACCTTTCAAAGTGCAATTTAAATCCATGGATGTCTCAGCTCCAAGAGGAGCAACTGTCATTCTTGGCCGCCGCTCTTCCTGTACAGCGAATGTGAGCCGAGCCCTCCTCAATATCCCCCAGTATTAAAACCTCACAATATGCCCAACAACTGCACAGTGGAGGAGAGGGAATGTGTGGTATGTGCTTACTGCATCACAACTTCTCTCTCTGCTCTCACATGGACTAATATGGCCAAGCCAAGGGGGGGGGGGGGACAATAAACACATGCAGCACGTTGACACTGCAACCACCATGGGTTTTTATTTTTAAATTTTTTAAAGGGTAACCTAACTTTCTGTGATCGGTTGAAATCGTTTCCGATATTTTGTTTGTGAAATGATTGTGAGTAATAGTGTGTAATATTGGTGCACTCACTCTCCTGCTATTGTGAGTTATCTGTGACAGTTTGCGTTACACAAGAAATACCAACAAATCTCTATATTTAGTTTATCTTCCAGCAGGTGCTTGGCACTCCCACCAGAGGGCAATGGTCAGCCACAGTGGAACCTCCCTTGTGCGTTTATGTACTGAACCATCAAAGTGAGACAGTTATGCATTTCAGTTTTATATTGTGTATAATTACCTTCTATAGCCAGTGAGCAGAGACAGCAACGGGATGTTGTCATGCAATAAACTGGCACTTTGATTTAGCAGTACTCACTTGCAAATTAAAAATTTGGTCGTCTGAGTCTCCTTAAAGACTCGTACAAGTTGAGTTTAAAAACACATATTATATATATATTATAAAAAGCAATTGCTTATTTATACCAAGATGATTATTTAAAAAACCCTGCATAATACATATGTAGTTTGACTTTCTTTATTTTCTTTAAAAGCTCATGCAGGCTCTCAGAATTATAATTTATATGATGTCAGCTTTAAAGCCTGCCCTTGAGAAAATACAATCAATAATTCTCTTCTTTGGCTTTATTATTTTGTCTCAAGTTTGGCTGAGTTACAAGCCTGGATTGTTGACTCTGTGCAGCATTTATCTGATCTGACACAGTTTCATTAGGCATTAGTAATCATTTCATAGCACACAACATTAGAGTACTCCTGTTTGTAAAACAGCAGATGAGGCTAATGCCGTCCTCTGGGGAGAAATTCAATATAATTCGTTAATTAAATGGAATAATTTAATTACAGTAACTTAGAAAGCATTCATCAATATAATTGTTTCTGGAGCCAGCATTATAATTGAGGTTTAAGTGAAAACAAGTCCGTTTCTAATGTTGGTAATGTGCTGACATAGTTCTCCCACCCTCCATTTGTTCCTCTCTCTGATCTTCCACCATGCCATTTCTCCACAGTGTTTTCGTTTGATAGCCGGCCATACCACATCAGCAAGACCAAAACATTTATTACAGCCATTTAATTTAACCTCTCTACAGGCATGGACAAGAAGACAGAGATGATAGCACAGCCGCACTGAAAGACTCTCGCTGTTCGGCTTCTAATCTGATCCTCTGTGTTGCCCTTTCATAAAGACACCAGAGTATTACCCTGACTCCAAACATACCTCTGCCATTTAAACTGTCTTGGATTTCACCACAAAGACGACCAAATAGAGTCCAATTCATTCTTCAGGGCCCAAAATAATAAAACATAATTTTAGTCTAATCTGCCTGAAGAATGTTGTGCGTTTGAAGTTGACAGTGCTCTATCTTCTGGGAGGAATAATTGCCTTTTGAGTACAGCAGGAGAGGCCACTGAGGTAAGCCTGTCGAGGGTCTGCACCTTACAGGTGTGCCCTTGGACAGACAACCTGCTCGTTGTTCTGGAGAGAAAGAGTGGGAGGGAGGGAAAGAGAGGGAGAGAGAAACGAGGCGGGGGGGGGGAGCAAACTAAAAGAATTCATCTGCCAGTTGAAACTTTACAAGGCTCCAGCAAAGCAGCAGCGCTCCTCATCCTCCAGTCACTGTGTGGCCGACGTGGAGCGAACAAAGAGGGACTTGATCTCCAGTAATTCCTCCTGTCTGATAGAGCTGACAAATTCTTGTCATTAAAGTTTTATCATTTGAATGGACAGGTTTGTGAAATTGACCCGCTTGTAATCTGTTTGATTTGTACAAACTGCATTCGGGACCAGGCCACTGACAGTTATTGTCCAGAAATGTAAACGACAGTGCTCACATAGTGCCGGCTTTGTGTGTCTCCAGGAGTAAACTCAATACACCAGCCCCCGTTTGCCCACATGGCCACATTGAAATCCTGTGCGACTATAGATTATGAAGTTAAACAGTAATTTCCCAATCATTTCGGTTAAAGTGTAGCTATTTATCAGCTGTATAAGATAGTTATTTTGCCTTCTTCCTGTGACAAACTGAGCGTGTGCTCGATTTGTCAAACTTCTCTCTGATTTTTAATGGGGCCTATTAATTTAGCAGGGAAATCTGTCCTTTTCTGAACATGGCATTGAAAGCTGCCGAACAGCTGTCCCGGCTCTGGAGAATCATATGGAAGAATGCATTATCGGCCTTGTTTGAATATTCCCTTAGATTTGGAATAATCAGGCAGCTATTCAGCAGTGAGATGGCCACGCACAGATGCCAAAGCACAGCTGAGAGGAGCACGCCGGTGTAATGCCGCTGAAACACACACAAAACCAGCGGCATGAAAAGCGTGAATAATGCAGGTGTACTTTCTTCCTGTATGGCGTGTTTATCATACATAATAGCTACGACACTTTCTTTCAGCCCCTTTATTCCCTTTTTTCCCCCCCTCTCTTCTTGTTCAAGGTGATCCGAGCTTTGCATATGGCTGATTAATCTTATTGCACAGTGGCTAACATTGATCACAGAAATGATTAGAAATGCATTAGTCAGCAGACTGTTTGGAGTGGTCGGGTTTAAGTGCTAGTGCCAAGCCATTTTCCATAGGTGTCCATGTTTTTAATTTTGTTATATAGAATTTTGCAAAT